TGTTGGTTTAGATGCAGTTATAAGTTTATTTAGCTCTTCCTGTCCTATAGCTGTAAAGCACTGCAGTTTATCTTTTGGTGCGATGAATGAAGCTAAAGTATTATACGCTGTAGAATCTACATTTTTTATTGTATTTCTGATGTTATCTATTTTATCAGTGAAGAAATTCATAAAGTCATTACTATTAAACTGTGCGGGAATATTTAGATCGGGTGGCGTCTGGTTATTTGTTAATCTAGCCACTGTGCTAAATAAAAACCTAGGATTGTTTTGGTTATTTTCTATGAGTTTGTGGATATGCTCGGCCCTGGCAGCTTTTAGAGCCTGTCTATAGCTGGACATACTGTTTTTCCACGCAATTCTAAAAACTTCCAAGTTAGTTTTTCTCCATTTGTGCTCAAGACTACGAGTTTTTTTCTTGAGAGAACGGGTGTTACTGTTGTACCATGGCGCAGTATGTTTTTCTCTAACCTTTTTCAATTTGATGGGGGCAACAGCTTCTAATGTTTTAGAGAAGATAGTGCCCATGTTGCTAGTTATTTCGTCTAGTTCATGTGTACTTATTGGTACACAGAGCAGTTGAGATAAATCAGGCAGGTTATTTGTGAATCTGTCTTTGGTGGCTGGAACAATAGTTCTGCCCAGACAATAACGCTGAGCCATATAGTTAATATTAGTAATACGCAGCATGCACGATACAAGGAAATGGTCAGTAACATCATCATTTTGAGGTACGATATCTATATCAGTAAGATCAATTCCATGCGATATAATTAAATCTAGCGTATGATTAAAGCGATGAGTGGGCCCGGTAACGATTTGCTTGACTCCAAAAGAGTTTATTAGGTCAGTAAACGCAAGTCCTAATGCATCATTTGTATTATCAATGTGAATGTTAAAATCTCCGACAATTAGCACTTTATCAACAGTAACCAATAGGTCTGAGAGGAAATCTGCAAATTCTTTTAGGAAATCTGTATATGGCCCTGGTGGTCTATACACAGTGGCCAGAGCAAGAGATACGATAGATTTCTTTTGCATATCTGACAGTGTAACATTAAAGGTGCAATAGGAGATCTTGGAAAATGCTACCTTTAGCCTGATAGCACTGAAAGCGAACGTCCCACCCTCCCTGCAATCGCCGTCCAAAGCCACGCCCCCTGAACGCATTTATGCTCATAGACCAGAGACAACATTACTACAATAATAAATACAACATCAGGTTCCCAATTCCAGCCCATGTTCCGAAGTGATGGGCTGGGCAACGGATTTCCCCTGCTCAGGGAGTAGGTAGCAATGAACTCTGTGTAGGGATCATATCGATCAGAACACAGTTCATGCACGTAGCTCACGCAGGACTAGATTAACCGCTGGGCTACATGTGTCATTCACCAGTGAGAAATCTTTAAAAGTACTACAATACCAGGAAGGAAGATCGGGTTGTTGATGTTTGCCTGCCATTCTCGCTCTGTCTGCACAGTGTGCGTGAACGCGCTGATGACGTATCCTGTCTGCACGAACTGGGTGCGCAGAGGTATGCTAATACATACATTGACAGGCAGGTAGGAAAGCATATTAAAACGCTCGGACATTTCTTGATCCTACGCCTTCCACAGAATATATGAATACAGACAAATACATTTAGACCACTTAACTTAATGATTGCTATCGGGATTAATTTAATTTACAATAGCTGCTTTGGGTGTGAGTGATCTAATGTTTAGGAGGCCAAACTTTAAAAATTGTTTTTGTTAATTTATTTTAAATTTTTTCTGGTTTAATCACGATCAGATTTTTTCTAGATCCTGCATTAAATGTATATTTTGACCTCACTATTCGGGGAACAGACACAGTCTTTATAGATTTTACAGCGCAAGTACTTCTATCATTTAAGCGGGTAGAACAAAAGTCATCAGGGCAGTTATTTGAGATTTTACTTACTAGTCATATTGTAGCATCCTGGAGATGTTGTCCGAAAGGAGTTCCGCTCCGACTCTGCTGGGGTGCAGGCGATCAGCGCGAAAAAGCCTAGGACGCTCCCAGAAAAGATTCCAATTATTAACAAAGAGCAGTTTCTGTTCTTTAAACGATGACAATAACCATTCATGTGCGGCGCACCGTCTCGATCAGGCTCCTGAAGTCCCTCTTCAGTGTCGTTAACCCCCATGTGAAGCACGACCGCTCCGGTGCTCTCGTCGCCCTTCAGGATCGCTGGTATCTGCGCAGAAACATCAAGATCACAAGCACCAGGGAAGCAGTCTGTCAATGTCAATGATGTGACATTCAGCAACAGCAGCACTGAGTTAAAACGACAGTCTGTACTGTCAATGATGGCATTACTACTGATGGTGGTTCTGTTGATGCTGTTACTGTTGGTGGTGTCACTGTTAGTGGCGTTACTGTCGATGGTGGTTTTACTACCGGTAATGGTGCTGTCTATGGTATTACTGGTGGTATCATTACTGCGGATGGTGAAACTGTCAAGGATGTTACTAACAGTGCTGTTACTGTTGATGGTGTTACTGCTGGTGGTGTCACAGTCAGTGGTGTTTCAGTTGATGGTGTTACTGTCAATGATGGCATTACTACTGATAGTGGTTCTGTTGATGCTGTTACTGCTGGTGGTGTTTCTGTTAATGGTGTCACTGTCAGTGGTGTTACTGTCGATGGTGGTTTTACTACCGGTAATGGTGCTGTTTGTGGTATTACTGGTGGTACCGGATGGTGATACTGTCAGTACTGTTATGGTCAGTAGTGTTAATGTCAATGGTGTTACTACCAGTGGCTACTGTCAATGGCATCAATGACAATGACATTACTGTTAGTGATGGTGTTACCGTTGATGGTGTTCAATGGTGGTGTTACTGTTGATGGTTTTATTACTGCCGGTGCTGTTACTGCCAGTAGTTTCACACTCAGTGCTGCTGTTGCTGAAAGTGTACAGTTAGTAGTAACATTATATATTTGACTATAATCAAAAAAGTGTTTACATTTTTGTAAAAATCTAGCAGAAGATTTAGGTTTAACATGTTATTATTTATTTATGCATTATACATTATTTATTTATTGAGATGTTTTTCTATTCAAGCTGCACTACCACCTGCATTTGAATATTGTGTGCTATGCCACGCTGCTGTGACAGACTGACTGCTCTGTGGCAGTTGTGCGGTGTAGAACAGTTGTCCATCTAAATTACGTTGATCACTGGCTGTTAATATTTATGAGGTTTATATATGGGTTTGTAGTAGTCATATTGGTATTTATAGATGCAGAAAACATCTTTAGCTGAAAGATGAACATTTTCTATTCTTCATTGCCCAATTCTGGTTGCTGTTATGCTCTGCAACTTTATCATGCATATCCAATATGGATTAAAACATGTTCAGGTCCCATTTGACCTCTAAAAGTTGTGTTACTGTGAGCTGTTTCCCACTCTAAAAAAGACAATATCATTTTGTTGAGTGTTTTTTGCCATTAATGGCAGCATAAGAAATAATATTATTATGTATAATAACACAATTTAACTAACAATTATGTCTTAGTGCAGGGATTCCCAAACTTTTTTAGCAGCCAAAACGCTTTGACATTAAAAACACATTTGCATGTTAATGGTTCTCTGATTTCAGTTAATGGTCACATGGCATGCAGGTAAACAAACAAAAAAAATTCTTCTGCTGCTGAAACATCCATGGAAAACAAACAAACAAAAAACAGACCACACCCTGATACCAGCTGAAATAGTTGCTGTTTTATTTTACAGTATGGGAACCCCCTTTTGGGAAACCATGTCTTAATGTATGAATTCATAATGTATGAATCTCATTCAAGAACTCTTTCTATACAGCCTGTTTATCTAATGTACTCTAAAATCAGTAGCTCTGGTCGTGGCTTCTGGATGTTCCAGTCGTGCTAAAATACACAATAAAATAACAGCTTTTAACATCTTTTAATATGCAATGGGTAAGAGTTCTGTTCTCTCTTTGTTTACAGGTACAGTCATTAAAATGGACTTCCTGGCCTTCAGATCTGCATATACATGCAGCACAATATCGTCAAGGCAATATGAACCTTCACCAGTGCAGCAGTACGTGGGACAAAACAAACTTCATTTAAACCACATTCACTTGTTCCTATCAAAGGAATTATGCACAGTGTCTCAAAAGGAATCATATGGTCAAATGTGGAATCTAACCATGAGGAAATAGGACAACGTGGTGAAGATAAAGAAGATGTTTTGAAGCACACTGAGGTAGAAACTATTTACTTGAAATCACAGAGTACATGCACAAACAATTTGTGAGGTGCATCTTGATGTTTATCTGCCCCTAAAACAACAACATGCTACTGGGACAGGTGTGTGTGAGTATGTACACGTAAATATGTGTCTTCAGACCAGCAGTGTCATGTTTAAACGTTACAGATCATGTGCTATACCAAAACATATTATGGCATGCATGGAAAGTTGGGCATGGAATAAATCTTGATTATTATGTTAATTAATTTTTTATTTTTCAACAAATTCAGTAGTCATTTTAAGTGGGAACAACTATCACTGACAACAAATTACTTGACTGTTGAGGTTAACATTGTTAAATATTTATTTTTTTAAAGTATCATAGGTTTTTGTATAAAAATGGAATCGGTTAAACTGGTGAAAGGTTATTTTTCTAGCTTTGTAAAATTTTGCTAAATCATTTTAAATTTTCTTTCTTTTTTCCACTCTATTTTGCCTACAGTGAAAAGGAAATGTGTATACATATAGAAATTCTGTCATGATTTCCTTCTGTAATTGTTTATGCAGTACAAACACTGAAACGCAAAGGTTGCTGCAGGTTGGTGTTTTTATTTCTTTTATGATTATTGATATAGTTTCATAATCACCCATCACTGAAAGCATCTACCTCACTGTCCTGATTGGCTGTTTTACTATGCGTTTACCTCACTGAGTTACGTCAAACAGTTCACAAGCCTTATTTCTGGAAACAGCTCGAGCATACAGCATGTCACATTTCCCCACATTATTGTCGGATGTGTGTTGTCCTGACTTTGTCCATTCTGGTTTTGGGCAATCATTCAATCCAAAAAGTCATTACAATAATGTAAAGCTGGCAAGTAAACACTCATCCCAACATGCCCCACAACAGAATAAATAAGAGATTGAAATGTATTCCCCCTGCTTTCTAATGATAGAGATATATAGGCCTAAGAATTGAAATCTATAAATAGATTTTATTAGCTAAAATGTGGGAAATTGCAATGTGATAGAGTTTATATGCTAATGATGATACTTGAGAGATGATTGTACGACAGTAGATTTTCCTAGATTAAATGTGTATATTATATATAATGTCCCTATTTAAATAAGTAATTATTTCGTTAAGGTTTGTTCATGAGCACACATGTATCCATTTCAATTCCTGAAATCCTGACTTTACATGAATACTGTATGAATATTTGCATCATGTCAAATGAATGTCCAACGTCCAGTAAATCATTTTGTCGTCTCTGTGCATCAAAAAACTCTGCTGCTTTGAGGTTTTCCATGTGAAAGCAAGATGCTTCATAATAATTTCTTCACATTGCCATTATTTTCACTCTTTCATTTCATTTACAATCTAGTTTTGATGTATCACCTGTTCTCTGCATCTAAATTGGACAATACTACTGTTTAAAAATAGGACAGACAGAGCAGTAATGGCTGACATTGATTCATTTAAATGGACAGTTTGTTTAAATGAATTAATTCGCTGATTCATTTGAGTCATCACTCAAAAGTTTTTTGCCTATAATACGGTTTATATAAACTTTTGCAATACAGTGATACAGTCATATTTTTCAATTACATTACATAAATTGTGTCAAATATTGCAGAAACACAGACCCAGAGCAATTCATTTATGAATTATAAATCATTATGTTTGGTCCATAATTTCATATTTGGCATAGACAGTGTGTTAATATGATCATGTCAATATAAATTGCACGGCTTTAATCATGTGTTTTACACATGGTTTTCATGTTGGCTTCTGCCCAGTCATTAGACCTGATATGAGCTGTGATACAAACATTTACTTACACATTCGAGTAATCAATAGCATGAATGTATCATGCAGAACAAGCAAAGTTTTTATTATTAAACTGTAATGATCTATATGAAAAACCGCAGGGTATTGGACGCCAGAAACAACTTTCACAAATAAACCAAAGTGACACTTATTCCACATACACTCAGAAAAGCTCTTTCTCTATCTGCTGTGACTGTTTTTTTGATTTGGTGGTATTTAACTGACTTCTTTGGACATACAATATTTTATGAAGTTTTTATGAATTCAAAGCAGGCCAAGTTGTTGACTAAGCTAACATGAATGAATTCTAACACGGCCACTGGCAGTTACCAAATTTGTTATGGCTGTGAGTTACACTCTAAAAAATGCTGGGTTAAATACAACCCAGCGCTGGGTAAAATATGGACAAGCCCAACAACGGGGGTGTTTTGACCTTCTGGGTAGTAACCCAACCGCTGGGTCAAAACAACCCAGTCTCGGCATTTGTCCATATTTTACCCAGTGCTGGGTTGTATTTAACCCAGCATTTTTTAGAGTGTAAGAAACAGGAATTGAATGGCTTTTAAAATTTTAAAATAGACACTGAACATTATTTCTTCAAAAATAAAAAGTTAATCACTAGCTGCTGAATTCAACTTCATGTTCAACTAATAAATATTGTTTAAATAAAATAACATGGACAACAATAGATTTAGTAACGATAATAGAATTAACATCCACCTTATTTTTAGCGTAAGAGTAGGCGCAGCCATTTTTAACCTGCAAGGCTTCCGGTGTCAGTAGCTTCCAGATAGTTTAGCTGTACAAAAACAGTCTTGCTGCAAACTGGTTTTTGTTATCATATTATTTCAAGTCATCTTAATCCGAAACACTTTGAGTTTGTCACTTACTGTTTACTCCACTTTGTTATTCTTCTAGTCTTTTACCTATAGTGGCCAATAAATCGCACAGTCACAGGAAATAGCTTACTCTGATGTTGAATAATAAGTGAATAATAGGAGAAATAGGATAACTTTTATTAAGAAGTGCTGTTACTTTGAACTGAGCTCTTAGACTGTAATTTGGTCATCTTGTAAATCAGATGTTTCTTATATGAAAATGGCAGGTAGATCTGCAGCATTTTGCAGAAGAAAAGTGTAAAAAAATATCACAATTACCCGTCTGCTCTATCTTGCGGTCATGGATGCTGCTGACGTTGATACTTTGTTTATGAGTTTACACAGGCTGCACCTCATGTCATGATTCTTCAAATGTGGCACTCCGTTCATACAGCTCATATCATTCCCTACACATCCCTGATATCCACACATGCGATTTCTATGCTAGATAGATCATAGATGTTCCATCATATCACCGCTTACTGTCTGCTGCGTGTACTCACACATGTAACTACACTGTTGCCTAAGCAAGAAGCGCAAGTGTATGTGCATTTCTGACATGTTCCTTTAATACCATCTTATAAATTAAGTGGTATATATTCAAAGCAGGGAAATATATTTTCAAGAACTCCATTACATAAGCTGATCGTGTATTTATGAAACCGTTGTGAGAAGTTATAAAACAGGCAAAGTGTTGCACAGTTTAGTACCGTATGTGTCTGTTGTTTGTTCATAGTAAGCAATAATGCATGATAAATCGTATGAATACAATGTTGCTTTGCACATGATGTTAACTGGTTGCTCATGTAAATATATTTCTTTACTAGTGCCTTATATCATGTATCATATCATCAGTGAACGAAACTGAAATTGCTAGCCATTCTAGATCATGAATTTTGAGATTATGATGTCACTGATTCCTTTTGTAATATGAATGTATTGCACTCAAAGTCTTCCTGGGATTGTAATATTCTTCATATATGCTCATGTGACATCCTGTGTTTCTAAAGGACTGATCCCCATGTTTCAACTTTTCAGCAATGCCCAGTATAAAGACTCTTCACAACAACATTTTGGCATTTGTGCAACAGAAAATAATCCTTTCATTCATAAACATTTTTTTTGCAGTTAAAGTCATATATAGGTTCAGTACAAGTTAAACTCCGTTGACAGCACTTGTGGCATAATGTTGATTACCACACACAACTTCTGGGTTACAGTAAGGCCTATCCATAACTGTAAAAAAAAGTTTAGTGTAAAAAAAATCATATTTGTAATTGTTATATTTAATTCTGCAATGTAGACTTTAAACCCTACAGCAATAACAATTACAAGCACGACTTTACAGTAATACATGTTTTGACAGAAGCAGGGCCGTGCACAGACATTTTGAGGGGCAGTGGCCCAAACCAAAATTATCCAGTTGTTACAAATCTAAAATTAATAGAGAAGACAGCACACTCTGTAATAATTTCAGATTTTATTGTAGATGTTTTGATAAGAATGGGCTCTCCCTCACTCTCTGAGCCTGCTTCTGCCTCATTTTCAATGGAAGTAGGGGAGAGTGGGGTAAGTTGAGCCAGTGGGTAAGTTGACCCACCCCCTGTTTCTTGGCATCTGTACACTTTTACTCTCAGGTGACCATGTATTTTGGAACCATCCATCATTTCTGCCAGACTGTATGAAGGAGAAACACATGGGGGGAATGGAAGGCACCCATTTACTTTAAAAACAGTTTTTGGCTTGTCAAAGTAAAATTTTAGCATAAGAGATGTAATGGTTGTTACATCAAAGCAAATTTATCCAGGTCTAAAAATATTTATGATACATATAGGTGATTTAGCAACATATAAAACCATGCAAATCATTTAGCTAAATATTAACCTGAACTGGTAAGCAACAGTAGCTATTTCCTCCAAAATGGCAGCTATGGGGCAAAGTGAGCCAAAAGCTGTGGGGTAAACTGCGTCAGCATTTTAACTTACCCCACCATAAGGCACTGTAGTTAAGTTACATTTCTGAATTATAAACTGGTATTTTAATGAGATATTACTGGTTTAGTTTATCATATATACATATTTTATTTGATAGGGACAGTGTACAAGTGCACCAATCCTTCTCTGATAAGAACCAGAAAATGCTTTTCATCGCATTATAATCAGATATATCTTTCCACCTGTAGTCCCTAATGGCCAAACAAACTCTCTGTTTAGTTTGTTTTTAGGAAGGCTACAACGTTAGTGTTCAACATATTGTTTCAGAAATACATACAATTAAATATTGAAATTTAAACTTCATTTGGTTGGTTTACTTCATGGTTCATATTAACTTCATGCAAAGAAATATGACTGTTTGTAATAGGAAATTATTAAATTAGATTTTTTATTGTTACTTATTTCACATGGGTTTGAATCAGATTTGGTCAGATGATCATTTTACACCCAGATGGTGTCTTACCCGCTAACTCGACTCGGGTCAACTTAACCCTAACCCGGGGCAAACTGAGCCATGGGAACACTTTTTTATAAGAAGCCATATTTTTTAGAACC